CACTTGATGAAAACTCTGGAAAGTCATACCAAAAAAATATTAAATTTTCTAACTACTGATATTTCATAATAATTAGTGTGATAATACTTATAGTAAATTGTAAAATAGGTAACCTGCCCCTTTTCCCACTGCTAGAGCGTTTGTTGGTGGATAGTTCTTACTTCTTATAGATCAATAGATATATAGAAGTACAGGTAAAACAGTAGCATAGCGCTCCACGAAAGCAGTACGAGCTGGATCAGAACGATAAACGATCGCCTGTTCGATCGAATGGATACTCTAGTTCAGGACTCCTAACGCCTTGACTGAATCTATCGATTGACTCTTTTTATGTTGTCAACACTAGAAATGCAAAGTGCGGCAAGACTTAAGACACCCTCAGAGACCCAGGGGCTGTGATTCGATTTCAAGTTAGGGCGAAAGAGCTCTTTCGCCCTAACTTGAAGTCGACTCACAGCCCCTGGGTCTCCGAGGATGGACTTCAGACAAAATTAACATTTTGTCAACCGTGTCTTCTTTTCGATGAAAATCTGCACATCACATGTGAAACATGAGGGAGGATGATTTCGGTAGAAACTTTTTTTAAGTGTGTGGCCTCTTGAGAGTTTTCAATAGATTATTTTCGTTCCACCTTCCATGTGTGGATTACACGATCGGATACCCCCATTTTCCTAGTAATAATCAATCTGAATATCGAGTGAACTAAAGATTAACTGCACGGCTCTTTAAAATAAAATATCTGAACTCTTGGAATTACCTCCACTTACCGCGGAGAAAGGATATTTTTTTTACTCCAGCCATACTCCATACTCCTCCCCTCTACTATCTTTGTGCTAGAGTATAGGAAAGCTAACTCGAACGCACTGCTTGCGGACTTCAAAAGTGAATGAATGCAGCTGCCTCTCGATGCGGATTGGTCCTTTGGTCAGGAAGGGTCAATCAGCATCGAGACGTAGATGTCATGACTTCAGACTTTAAACGGTTGCGAGGGACATCACAATTTCCCGGACTAGGAGCCCCTTTCGCGCGCCTGTCGAATTCAGCTGCAATCGATCTCTTTGATTTACTCTTGGTTCAGTTCTTAGTTCCTCTCCTTTTCGTATAGCGGCTCACAGCTGTTATCATGGCTTCGAATCCACAAGAAGGTAAGAATGAGGTGGTTTTTTTCATGTTTATATGATTCCGTTATGAATATTCATAATAATTAACCGATAAAATACTTTGCATACTATAAGGAATTGTGAATTCAGGAACTTTGTGAACTACTTATAGCTAGCGTAAAATGAAAAGTGACGCAAACAACTCTCCGAGGTTTTCTATTATTGTTACTTCTGCTCTTCTCACATGAAAACGCCGTCGCGGCTTCCAAACGAAGGAGAGAACTGAGAAGAAGTGATTTTCTCGTTCATCGCTGCCACTGTCTAATGCTTATTGAGGCGGAATTCATTGTGGCCTACATACAAGATTTAGAAAACATCTTGAACCACTGCACCTTTTAAATTAAGCTTGAGCTTAAACATATAGCAGATCTTACATAAGCTTCAGGGTAGAAAAATTGACTTTAAAGGAAACTCACTGCAATGAAGCAAACATGGCCAATTCTTGATTTCTGTTTTGATTCCTTGTACATGTGCATCGACATGTTTATATGGCACCTTAAAGTTTATAACATTTCATTTGTGGAGCTATTCCATAAACTCCCCATCAAATGATTTCCAACATGAAGGGCAAATACTGTCGATCTGAGTTTTTGAGTAACATTAAAATTGAAATATGATTTTTTAATTTACTGAAAAATTTTTCTTTGTTTTATCAAAAATTGGTTTGACATTGCATTTATCATCTGTTGGATGCTTTATTTACGACCAGTTCGTAAGTATAGGTTAAATAAATGTAGAAATTTACAGGCTTGAGACCCCAGTATGTGTGCCTAAAGCTTGTCGGGGTGATGATGTTGATAACCAGTGACCTTCTGGTTAGAACCTCTAGCCCTCTTATTAGATTAGGCAGTTTTGGAGACTTACATGTTAACATTCTTTGGCTATGAACTTTAAAGGCTAATATAGTTTGAAATAATGACAGTTTTGTTTTGTAGTTCATTTCCCTTCTCTCATTTGATATTTGTGAATACCAATTACCAATTGAACAGATTGTCTTCAGTTTAATCTATTTTTGTTG